AATCTCCTTTATAAGTGCATTCCATTGCCAGACTTGACAGAAATGAAATTCCAGAGATGCAGTTCATGACGGTCAGTTCTCTGGGGCTTACAGCAGGACACAAAACGGTAGAACATGAATCCTGAGCACATCACGGTTACATGGTTAATGCAGCAGGCCTCGAATCAAATCCATCTTTGCCTGCCTCCAAACCTCAGGCCTCATTCATTGCTTTTACGTACAGTATTTTTCCACAATACACATGGTAGCAGCTTAGTAAATATTTAATGAATGAAATCCCAGATGAAAGTTGAAGAAACTGAGATTGAAGGTAATGTGTCTTGAGTTTAGGAAATCGAGTCTTGGTTACTCTGGAACCATTTCTTGATTTATGCCTCACTGCCTGTTCACTGATCAAACATCACTCACTCTTTCAGATATGAAAGGAAATCTTCAGCAAAGTGTTTCTTCCATAGTAAGCCTTTCTGTAATGATTCTTACGTTGAAACCTTCGGGATTTAGTGTGAGATTGCAGATTTATGGTACTTACTGGATTAGTATTTCTAGTACTCGTGATGGACAAGAATGTCATCGAATTTTCCTTCTCTTTTAGGATTTCCACCCCTGTCTTCAAACACCCATCCCCAATGAAAGTAAATCTTGTATCTGCTAAAAATGATGCAAGGCAGGAACGTCTGTTTAAATCCTGAAATACTTGGCCTTCAAATGAAGATGCCAGCAATATTATCAATAGAAAAGAAAAATTGCCTCTGTATTAGGCAATATCCAGTCAGGAGAACAGAAACCGCTCTAGTTATGTCACACAGAGGGAATTTAAGTAGGACCTTTGATTATAAAGGCCTTGAATTATCTGGAATACCAAAAGGAGCAATTGGACAATAAGCCCTACATTATTACTCACAACTACATCCCCAGTGCATAGAACAGTCCCTAGCATGTAGTGTGAATTCAATAAATATGTTTTGGATCTATGATTACATCTGTGGACATTTGTACTTTCAGCCTAAGGAAGACACCAGTTGGGAAGCATTAAGACACCTGTGTGACCACTGATAATTCAGTGGATATAGGTATGTGGTTTGGTCTTTGGTAAGAAATCATGTTGAAAGTCTTCAGTTTAAAACCTGTTAATAGATAACACTTGTTGAGCACCTACTAGGTACCGGGTACTACTCTAAACACTTTTCTAAGCCCTTTGCAACATTACCTCCAAAATAACCCTATGATAATGCGTTATAATTTTCCATTTTACAGATGGGTATCAAACTAAGGCAAAATACTTTTAAATAACATCCAAGATCATACAACAAGGAGCCATGAACACAGTCTGGCTCCACAACCTATATTTTTAACTTCTATACCATGTATCTCTCTGTTGCTCATGTGATGAAAGCTTAGCCCAATTTATAACCTTTGTTTCCCATTTTCTCCACTGTGCCTTGGGGCAGAAAGTAGCCAGCTGTTTTCCCAACCCCTTGCTTTCTCTTTTTTCTGGTCCTACAGCAGACCATATTTTCCAGCCTTTTTTCATGGTTGTTGTAGCTGTGTGAATGAACGTTAGGCAGAGGAATGTGAGTGAAGTGACATGCATCCCTTCCAAGATTGGCCCATAAACTCTTCACACATGGTGCTGTATGTTCTTTCCCTTTCCTTCAGCACAGGAAAGGTGAGCATGGTGAACTAGAAGGTCATATGTTGAAGAGTTGGAGCCACAAAACAGAAGAAGGATGGGTCCTTGAATGTTGCTTGGAGAAGAGCTGAGCATCAATCAGGAACATCTGTATCAAACTTTAAGTGAACAAGAGATAAGCTTCTTTGAGTTTTGTGTATCATGTTTTTTTAAATTAATTTTTTTGGTACTGGGGATCGAACTCAGGACCTTGCGCTTGTGAGGCAGGCAGCGGAAGCACTGAGTTTAATCCCCAGCCCATCGTGTTTTTATTGTTGCTGTAATAGCAGCTAGAGGTATGTGAACTGAGCTGGTCTACCTACTGTCCCTTGAACACACCTCCAGCTTTTGCACATAGAATTTTTTTTCTCTCCTTCTATTACTCATATTCTAGAAATTATGACTCAAGGTCCAAACCAAGTCCAGTCACCTTCAAGCAGCTTTCTTCAGCTTCCATCAGCCACAGCGATAGCGCTTTCTCTCAGCTTCCTGAAACACATTGTTATCTATACCTTTTTCTGCAGTTATTATAGCTCTAATTCCCCATGTCTTGTTTTCCTAGTGAAACCGTGAGCTCTTCTAGGTCAAAGGTCGTGTTTTTATGCTTTTTGTATGACTCTGAAGTACATGACATGGTGTGTATCTTGGGAATTTTCAATAAATATTCATGGGAAAACAAACATAAATGTATTAAGTTCAGTAAGTCCATTTTCCTAAGAACAGTCTTTCACAGCTGACGCATGACAGTATGTAAACTATAATTTACTGGATTTGGCATTTTTATTATTCTTTTCACCAATATACACATTCTAACACTTCCTGACAACTGCTTTGAGGAGACAGAAGGCATGCTTATCAAATTTCACATGGCACGGACTAGAAGTAATAAATAATGCACAAGATGACAGAATCAAAACTAGACAGGTTGGAATGAAATGGATAACATTAAATAGAGATAACTACGAAATTAGACTGTTAAAAAACAGCTATCTAATTTTAGTATGGAAAGACACGACTAACACCAATTTATAAGGGGAAATTTGGGGGGTTTAATTGGTTGCTGGGCTGACATGAACCCAGAGTGGTATACAAGGTCCTGTTCACGTTGGACTGAGGCACTGTGTGACAGGCAGAATATTCAAGGTTCAATGAGACAGGCATGAGGGTTCTGGGTAGCAGTGAATTGGAGGTGGACAGAGCCTCAATGTTGGGTAAAGTCCACAGTATAGGGGGGAACAAAGTCCTATTTTTTAACTTGGGTAAGCTAAACACATGAGTGAACTTTCACTTTGCAAATGTTGGTGGAAATCCTCCATCTGTGAATACCATTACATAATATCTGACATTAAACTAGAACCAATAGAACAGGCTAAGTCGCCTGAGAGTTTCACTGTAGAAATAGAAACTAGTAGGTTTCAGAGGTTTGTTATTTTACTTTTGGTCCTATTCTCCAATGCCAGGGTCAGAGCTGTCCTATACTCAAGTGCCCCCAATTTAGAAGCTGGGAAAGGCTATGACATTTACACCCCATCTTCTCTGAGCTCAGCTGGGACAACCATTCTTTGCTCCTAGAAACTCCACTTCCTAAGAGCTACAATCAGAGCTCTGGCAAGAAGGCTGCTGTCTGGGCCTTGGCACCAGACCACTGAGAACGTGAACAGTCTTAGGCAGTGTTACTAGAAGCCAAGCATCTGGAATGAGGGTGCTGCTGTAGTCTGTGCTGGTCAGACTGTTCCTTTTCCAGATACTGAGATTTTAAAAGGATACAGGCAAATTGATGTGTATCAAAAGATGACCAGAGGGGCCGGGGATTTAGCTCAGTGGTTCTGGCTCCTACTGAGCAAGCACAAGGTCCCGAGTTCAATCCCTGTTACCAAAAAAAAAAAAAAAAGAAGAAGAAGAAGAATAAGAAGATGACCAGGACATTGAAGTGACTTACAGATTAAATCTAGTTGCTTTCTGGTTCTGGTTCCAGTTCCAGGACGGCAGGGGGTCAGGAGGGAGGGTGGGAAGGTACTGTGGGCCAGCACAGATACCAGGAATGCTTTTAGGTATGTGAATGCTCTTTAATGGAAGAATATTGCCACTTTAATGCCAGAAGGTAGAACTGGGACTGGTGAGATTAAAGTTGAAAATGAAGTTTTTTAACCTTTACATCTCTTCAGAAGTGGAATAAACTTTGTGAGTAAGCAAGGTTTAAAACAGTCAAGTAAAGGCTCAGTATTTTAGGTGGAATTCGGAACATTGGGTGGGAAATTAGGTAAGGTTTCTAAGATCTCTTTCAAATTTAATATTCTAGTTAGTGGTATGTTACAGCACATCAGGGGAGAAGGTCATTGCCTTACATTATTTAGTTTTTATTTTTTGATACTGGGGATCGAACTCAGGACCTTGTGCTTGCATGGCAGGCGGCAGAACCACTGAGCTAAATCCCCGGCCCTCTTTATATTATTTTGGAGTTACACCCTCTATTTTGCAAGATCACCCCTTAAAAGTGCACAAAGATGGACTATTTAATCTGCAGCATATGAAGGAAGAAGTAGAGGCTTAGGAGAGTCTCTGAAAGGTGAGGGAAAAGGCATCTCTCTCAGGAATTCCACGTGAGGGGACTGCAGGGAGGAGATGGGAAACAGTTCCCCAAGGACGAGGTGCTGGTTGGATGTCACACACTCTCGACATATCTACGGTGAGGATAACACCTTGCTCACCTCCTACCTCTGTAGACCCTGAAGAAACACACCAGGATCACATAGTTTTGGGGAACTGATTATCCTGGATAAACTACTTGTTTCTATGTGTATATTTCTCTCTCCGATCTGTTTCTTGGATTCTTCCTTTTCTTCAGAGGCGAGAACTACATTCATTTCAAAATCTCGAGTCTCACCTGAGGCAAGAGGTCATTTTTGCATAAAGTCGAGGTACTGTGGGCTTGAGTGTAAAGACAGGTTCTCAGGCTGGGGACCTGGAGGATGATACCACAAACAACCTGGGAACAGGAGAACGGGGACAGAGGTCGAAGTACTTATCCACAAAGGCTCATTCTGTGCCTGCCTTAGTTGCCTGTCACGACCACTGTCCCCTCGCCAAGTCCGCTCCAGGGGTGGGGGGAGGACATGAGGCGTGAACCTTCAGGGAACACACACACCTGGCAGACCACAACCACCACCACCCCACCCCCCGCCACCTGCGCACACCGCGCGCCCTCGCCCCGCCCTGGTCGCCTCCGGGCCCGCTCCCCCCGCGGTGCCCGCCTCTCCAACTGGCGCGGGCCGCGGCCGAGCCCCGAGTCGGAGGGGGCGCGGGCTGCGCGGGGGCCGGCGCCCCGAGCTCTGGGCATGCTCAGTCGGGCGGGCAGGGCTCCGGGCGCGAGCCGGGATCCCGCCGCACCGCATTCATCCGCTGCCAAGGAAGCCGCCGAGTGCTCGCAGGCTCGGTGCGCACCGCCCGCCCAGAACCCCGCCGCCGCGCCCTCGCCGCCCGGAGCCATGGCCGGCCTCGGCCACCCCGCCGCCTTCGGCCGGGCCACCCACGCCGTGGTGCGGGCGCTGCCCGAGTCGCTCAGCCAGCACGCGCTGAGGCGCGCCAAGGGCGAGGAGGTGGATTTCGCCCGCGCCGAGCGCCAGCACCAGCTCTACGTGGGCGTGCTGGGCAGCAAGCTGGGGCTGCAGGTGGTGCAGCTGCCGGCCGACGAGAGCCTCCCGGACTGCGTGTTCGTGGAGGACGTGGCCGTGGTGTGCGAGGAGACGGCCCTCGTCACCCGCCCCGGCGCGCCGAGCCGGAGGAAGGAGGTAACTGCCCGCCCGGCTACGCGAGGGGCGCGGCCGGGGACGCGCGGGGCCCTCCAGCTGCCTGGCCTTGGAGCCGGTGGCGGCTTTGCCCCCCCGCCCCCGCTAGGCTAGTTCACAACTTCCCTTCGCGGGCGGGGTTGTGCATGGTGGGAGGGAGCGCCGGGGAGGGAGAAGTTCATTGTTCACACCTCCTGGCTGGCAGAGCCTTCGAGCCGATCCGACTGAGTGCTGGTACGGACTTGGGCAGGTGGATGAGCTGGGAATCCACCTCCCGAGCAATGTTGTTGTAAAAATTAAACAACAGAGACAGTGCAACTCTTGAGTGTGTACTAGGGAGCGGGGACCCTGAGAGGGGTACAGTGCACGCGGACGGGTGGAGGTTGGGTGCCCCCCAGGGAGACAGCGCCAGTTGGTGACTGTGGAACAAGTCCTGCCTGGCGCCCGGAGAAGGGCCGGCCAGGTGACTGAACGGGGCATCAGTGCACGCAGACCTCGGGCGTCCCGAGTTACTTTTCAGTGATGGCAAGTGAATCTCTTAAGAACAGCGAATGAATTTAAGGAGAGCGTTTTGTAGGTGAGCTGTGGGGTGTGTGTGTGTATGTGTGTGTATTTGTGTGTGTGTGTGTGTAAGGTTTGAAAAGGTGTACTCTTTGTGGGATGTTGGGTGTGTGTTTAATTAGAAATGGTTGTTTCACAAGTTCCGTAATTTTTATTCTCTGCATTTTTAAACTCATAGCAATTAAGAGATCTTTTTGTGTTCTCAGGGGATAGTGACTACAGTATTACAACTCATGAAAATGGCTGTGATTGCTTGAAAGATAATGTAGGTTAGTGGGGAGAGACAAGTAGAGTGAGATTGGATTTTAAAATGCCATCTGGCTTGGGTTTCTTCACATTACCCGTAAGAGCCCAGGCTCAAGACTCTGTTGATGTTGGCATCCAGTGGCATTACAAGACGCAGGTGGTTTCCTTCATATCTGGAGGTTGCGGGATGTTTTCTGTTTTATCTTTATTCACATCACATTGGAAATACAAAGAGCTTTTGATTTAAATATGCTTATTCTACATATGTCCCACTACTACAGAACCCTACATGGCCCGATAATAAACATCCCATTTATTTCTCACTGAGATAAATAATCAGCTCTTTTCCCACCGTACTTTAGCAGAATCCAAAACAAGTCACCTGTCTTACTCTCCTGGCCTTTTTATCTCCTGGTCGCACCCTTCCTCTGTGAGAGGCCCCATTCTCTTTTTACTGATCAGGAATGTAACCCTATTTGAATATCTCTAATGGGTTCTAGGCCATGTGGCACAGCTGTAGTTTGTATTCAAAGAGCAAAACAAGTTTCAAAAATCCTTTCAAAATGCTACTCCCTAGACAAGAGTAGTTCCATTATCCATTTCTTTTTGTCCACATAATAAAACTTTCCAAGTTATGGTTTTACTGATATTAGAGTGAGCAGTGATCTTTCTCCCCTCCTGTGATTTGGAGGCTCAGAATTTGACTCCACCCTGTTGGTCCACTGCCAAAGATCACATAATGCAGTGGATAAGAACATTTGGCTGGATCTCAGCTCCATCACAAATTCTCTGATCTTGGGGTTGTGTGTCTTGCCTCAGTTTTCTCACCTATAGAGTGGGTATAAGGGTGGGTATAATAGCTACTTTGCAGAGTTGTAATAAATTTATTAATTCTCTTGAAGTTCACAGGACAGGGCATCTAATTAATACTGATTGTTACTATTCAGTAGACAGTGGGTCATAGCCTCCTTGAGTAGGTAGTCAGCCATACACCAAGTTAGTGACATTTCAGATTCCCAAGGTGAAGATCAGTCATCTTCATGCTTCAGGCTTCATCTGAATCTGATCTATGACACTGCCTCTCAGCTCGGATCTCTGAGTATCTTTACTGTCAGACATGATCAGGGTCACCAGGACAAGGGGCCTTAGGAGTTGGGGCAGAATTGGGTGGGATGCTCTGAAGAGCAGAGCAGTGCAAGGCAATGGTCTGAAATCTCTCACAGCAGTAGTCTGCTGCCATGGTAGGCCTTGGTGCTTGTTGACTAAATGAATGAACAAAATGCTAATTAGCTAATTCAGACACACTGATAGTAGCTTCAAGATCCTTTTCAGAAGGATTGTTATTATGTATATGTTTTTTCACAGGACACCTGCTTTCCTAACTGAAAGCTGAGGAGTTATTTTAAAACTACCATCACTGATCTCTGCCTCCAGTCTCTTCAATTCCATTTCATTCCATGCTATGGCCAGGTTGGTGGTTTAAAACTCAAATCTGATCTTGGCCCTCCCCTGACTAAAATTCTTGAGGGGCCCCCATTGAGCTGGGCTCTGCCTGCCTTTCCAGCTTTAGTGTCTTACCTCACCCAAAGCGCCTCCCAACACTTACTTGGTCCATGCCCAGTTCTTTCATCCAAGCTCTTCATTCTGTTTCTTTTCTGCACACGTGTTTTTCCTTTCTCTGGTTCACTCTCACTCATAGCTTTCTTCCTGTTACCTGGCTGCTCCTACTCATCCTTCAGTTCTTGGCTCACCGTCATTGTTAATATTATTAGCTAGCATTTTTGGATGCTTACCATTTGCCACAAACTGCTAGATCCATGATAAGTATTTCATTAATTCCTACATCAAGTCTTTGGGTTCAACACTATCATCATTCCTATTTCAAAGTTGATGAAACTGGAGCTTAAAGACATTAACTAAATTGGCCAAAGTTATAGAGTAGAACTAGTGAAACCAGTATTTGAACTTAAGTTTGCTGGATTCTAAAGCTCTGATCCCCCCTCTGTGATATTAGACATCTCCTTTCCATCTTGGGTTGATTCTTTAGGACCTCCTATAACCCTTCTTACTTCCTTTTATGATGCTTGTCACACCATATGATAATTTCCTGTGTAGCTTTCTGAGTCCCTCACTATTATGTAAACTGTTAGGGCATGTTTACATTGTTCAACATTTTGTTGGCACACAGTAAATATTTTGTTGAACAAATGTTTCTGTGACTTTAGGTCAACCTTAGTTCTCCCACTTTATGACATACTGTTTTGATACAGGTATTTTACAAGTGTTCCCAATGGGGAGAATCCCAGAAGTTCTATTATTAGTGGGAGTGGGTTGTATCTCTCTGCCTTTTCTTGTCTCTTATTGTTTGTTTTTATAACAATCTTGAGAGGTTCCTTCTTAATCAAAACATTATATTTGATGACTCTTCTCCCTTGGAAGAAAGAACTAAGAAGCCAAATTTTAAAACGTGCTCTTATGAAAGCCCAGTGTTTGCTCCAGTGCAGTCCCCAGAAGTTTATAAAACTCAGGCCCCATATGCAGGAAGCTTAAATGAAGGAAACTACAGTACAGAAAGTCAGTAAATCAGTGATAATGTTTGTTGTCCAATAATTATGTCTCTGGGACTCAGTATTATTATTATGTTTAATACTTTGAAGACAAATCAACCTTGAGAAGTCTATCATATTTCAAATGAACCCACCTTACTTTTTAGGGTAAAAAAAAAAATCAATGTTTAAATGCCCGGGTCCTGTGAATAAGATAGCTATAATATGCAGTAGGACAAGGATCAAGGTGTGAGGATTGAGTTTAAAATATAAATAAAAATTTTTGTATAGTTAACATGCCTAGAGCAGCAGATTTAAAAGGTTTAAGAGGGCATCCAGTGAAAGCCGGTTCCACTTCTGTCTCTGCTGTTATAGTTGGTTACCCAGTTCCCCTCCTTATATTCTTGAGTTCTCTCCAAAAGGTTTTTAGTATCCAGTAAATGATTAACTGACAAAACCTATTGAAACAAATTGTGAAATGTATTCTATGCCCTTTTGGCCCTCTTTTAAGAGTGATTTTATCCTTTCCCAGGTACCAAGGATTAGTATGTGGGATAATTCTACATAGGAGAAAAATCACACAAACACATTCTCCCAAAATGATAAGAGCTTTCATTCTTTCCTTGATCCTCTTCATTTTTAGCGCCCTCTTAAGGAAGAAGACAGTGCTTGGCACAAGGTAATACACACTAAAGAGATGTAGGTATCAAGTGGGGGAATGGGGTCAAGTGAAAGGAATGAGCAATATATGTAGTTGGGCAGATACTCCCTTTTTATTAGGACACCTGTTAGGACCTACACATTTTTGTCAGGGTTAGGAGTGAGCATAATGATCTTCTTTTTTTTGGTACCAGGGATCGAACTCGGGACCTTGCGCTTGCGAGGCAGGCGCCGGAGCCACTGAGCTAAATCCCTGGCCCAAGCATAATGATCTTGATCCTGGACTCAAGCTGAGTATCAAGATCAAGTAGCTAACAAATGCAAATTTTTGTATGTGCGTGACCCCTAAAAGATGCTATCTATCATTGTTGGTACTATTTTAAGAATAAGGAAATTAGAGACTTAAGTAACTAAAGCTAAGCAACTTGACCAAAGTCACAAACAAATAATAAGTTACAGACATGAGGTTTTCATGAAAGCGTCTTCATGAAATAGGTCTTCTACTTGAAGGGCTTATTGCCAGTTATGGTTAATCTTAACAAAACATTAAATAGACACAGATTACTTGAATCCCATTTTACATGTTAATGATAAATAATCTACATGGAACATTAATTAACTGAATGCTTTTAATTCTTTTCTCTCATAGAAATCATTCTCATTGTAATTTTAACTGTGCGGCATTTTTGCCATTTTTTTTTTGGTACGGGGGATCGAACTCGGGTCCTTGTGCTTGCACAGCAGGTGGCGAAACCACTGAGCTAAATCCCCAGCCCCTCATTGTAATCTTAAAATACTAATTCAGTTATTTCATAAACCTCCTAAATTGGGCAGTTTGTGCATAATTGTGTCTTATTTACTAGCAGAGTGAATGTTAACTTTTGAAATGTACACATTTCCTCAAACTTCTGTTTAACTTCAGGTGAGGATACTGCCCTAAACTATAATTAGAAATTACACTAATTGTCATGGAGATGGAAAGTGAATGTG